TAATTCCTATTCATAGAAAGTTGTGGCGAACTTTGTTCAAAATAGCTATAAAATAGCTATTTTTAAACTGTGTTTGCTTTTATTTTTGGAGCTATTATTGAGTATTGTTAAAATAGGTATTAAATAGGAAAATAAATAGATCTTAAATAGCTATTTAATTCCTATTCATAGAAAATTGTGGCGAATTTTGTTCAAAATGGCTATTAAATAGCTATTTTTAAACTATCTTTACTTTTATTTTTAGAGCTATTGTTAAAATAGCTAATAAATAGCAAAATAATTAGATCTTAAAAGCTATTTATTTCCTATTCAAATAGAAAGTTGTGAGAATTTAGAAAGGGTAAATGTATTTATTTAACTGGTAAAAATTTCCCAGTTTGAGTTAATTAATTTTAAATTTTTCATCAGTTCATTGAAATTATATTTACAAAAATATTTATAGTTTTTGTGGACTTTGTGGAGGTAGGTATTTTGTCTCTTGACAAAACAGCATTTTTGACAAAACACCATGAATACCAACAAAAAATCTCACGACGAGCGCGGTTTGACAGACTGGTGCTTAATTTTCTTACAACGCGCGCAAAGCTTTCTGGGATAGCGTCACAATTAACACCGCCATATTTTAAAATTTTTCTAGTAAAAACTTTCCGCTCGAAATGGCGCAAACACAGAGCTTTTATTGAGCGAAAGTGTTATTTATTGTAAAGATTAAAGATCAGAGATGACTGGGTAACATCCAGGTAGGAATTTTGTTATGTTTTATATATAAATAGAGCAATTTTGAAAGGAAATATTACTATCTTCATTCGTGAATTTTGAGCACATGTTCCGGCTTAAAATTTCAATTTGCTGCGACAATATTTGAATTAAAACAACATTAGTTTTATAGAAAGGCTTATATTTGACTCAGCCTTTATATTTATAAATGATGTTTATTGTAATGCCAAATAGTATATTTTGATCTTTGTGTTTACTATAGTGTATGTGCCAGATTGCCGGATTCCAGTGTTTGTCCCCGAGCCGGCGGCGCGAAGCGCCGTGCGAGGGTACTAATTCCCCCCGGCTATTTACACCCGGGGAAACGAAAGCATTAGCGAAGTCTAAAGTTCATCAATGAGCGCGGGCGTCGGTCACCAACGATGGGTGGTCATCCTCACTGATCTCAAAAATATGGCGGATTGTCATGAATAACGGACACTGATTGGTCCAATTTAAAGTTTGCATTATAACGACTGCATGACGACAGCACATTTCTTGATTTGATCAAAGATTTGATGATTGATAAATTTCTTGCAAATATATTTCATTTTTGCTCGTATTTCTGCAAGATTTTGTAAATTTCAAGAAAGAAAGGGCGAAAGAATTAGCTAAAAGAAGGAAGCCGACGTTAACGAAGGTAAGTTTGTTTTAAATATTGATTTTATAATGGCTTTAAAACCCGACAGCCTTTGCGTATATGAAACAACTAAACAAGACAGCATACAGTATGTTGTCCAATTTTCGGACAGTAAAGTGTTTTCACACTATATTTTGCGATTTAAGATGGTTAGCAGGTTCAAATTTGTACAGATGACGACCAATTCCCATGGCTACATTACTCTAAGAGATACATCGCTAAAATTCTTTATTTTTTCTGCAATATCGAAAACAAGTACTTCATTTTCATCACCACATTTCGGACAGCTCGTCCGCTATTCGGACACTTATAATAATAGCCGTTTTTCTCTCGAAGGTAAGCTGTATTTTGATAAATACTGGAATTTAAGGCTTGATTATGTTATAGAAATAAATGTCATGATTCTTTGAACCATATTCTAGTATGAAATTTCAGTCAGGTTACTCGCAACTAAAGCTCACTTTAAGATATATACAATTCCCGGTGGATAGATTCACATAATAATATCAGAACTCGCATTGAACTAAAGTCAACAAAATTATCGAAATCGAAAGTTTATCAAAACATAAACAACTTGTACACTCTTTAAACATTTCAAATATATAATTCTGTTAAATATACTCGTTATTTTAGTCATAAGATTGTCAACTCTAAGCCATCGTCCGAGTATTGATAAGCTCCTCCAAAATTGTTTCTTAATTTAAAAGTCCGAAACTTCTTAAATTTTATGACAGTAGCAAAAATTATTGTTGTGGTAAAATTTTTGGTTTATATAACCATCCCTTCAACTAAAAAATAATCATTCGGCAGTATATTTTCACAGAACATCTCCTGAAGTGTACTTGTCTTATCGCGCTGTCGTGAACTACGCCATTTTTAAGAAAATATTTTCGACTGACCTTTACTCGAAGTGTTCACGTTTGTACAAAACAACAGCAAAAACGTCGAAAATATAGAGCAAAATTCAGGACATATCGGGCAATCATCTGAACGTATTGATTTTTATTTTTTTGCTATTCTTCATAAAACAATTTGGCGATAAATATATTTCGTCCGAATAGTGGTACTGTCCGAAAATTGGACAACATACTGTATATAAATTTCAGTGTAACTTTAATATTGATTCCCTTTTTTATTATATTGAATTTTTTAAATAAAAAATAAAGCAAAGACCAAAGTTATTTGCAAGCGAGAATTTGAAATCATTTTATTGCAAACTCAAAGTTTATCGATATAGCCATTTAATAGTTAAAGGCAGTTTAGTTTTATAAAGAACACTTTAAAACGTTTTGTGAATTGTTTGTGGTTGAATTTTACCTTAAATTGAAGCTTGTATTACGTATAATTACATACATAACATATATATGTTGGGAAATTGATAATTTTGTAATTAAAAGTGATATTTTTAGGCGATTTTCATTTGTAAGAATATTCTTAAAAAATTATCGTGTTACCATGACAACTATACTCTAGATACTTCCTGTTCAGAAAATACAACGGTTTTGTCAGCAAGGCGAGGGTTTCTGCATGCATGTATTTTCTAGTTGTATAAAATAATATAGCTTGGCATGATAGCATCTACTTAATTCTAATATGCCTACCCAGGCATGTCCCAGCTAAACATGGTTTGAGAAAATTTATCGACTGGTTTCAAATTAACTGGTACTTTCATAAATTTCCAATATTTATTCATATATATAGGTGGGTCAGTTTAGGATAGATAAAAATATCAATTTGATGTGCTGTTGTCATATGTGGCAACTTGATTATAGATGCGTCCCTAACTGGAAACAGTTAAAGTCCTTAGTTTGCTTGTTCAAACTTATGAATACATTTACTGTAGTTACACCACATGTCTTCATGATCTGCTTAATAATATATGTAACAACCTTTCGGCTACATTTTATATATTTTAGAGACACCCCGGCAAGGGTTTGATTGTTTTTGGAATTACCCATTTCACTCCAATGAGCCCAATATTCAGCACTTTGTTATTAAATGTTATCTTGCCTAATGCCGGACAATTTTATTCATCAAGGGAAGTGTGTAGCTAGCGTACTAGACTCTGCCCATGTTTCATGTTGACATATAACACTTCCTACTTAAGTACTTTGATATTATTATTTAACTCTGACATTTCATGCTAGACAATTTTACTTACCGACTGTGGCATGCTCACCCATATCTCACCTAAATATTAACACCTATAAAGGAGCAATTTGCTCTTACCTTACTTGAAGTTCTTTGTAGGGGTGTGCAGGTTAGAATGTTTTTGCTATCCAGCTGCATGCAGGATATATGTTGGATAGTTGAAAAATATCCAGCTAGATTCAGGGTATTATTCAAATATATCAATGTTTTTTCTAACCTGTAAAGAAGGCCTGAAATTAGCTGCAGCTGAGCTTTGCCCTATTCTTGATGTTACATGATGTTCTTGCTTTTTTTCTGCCCAGTCCCCAGCCAAGTTACTGTATGTATATACTTAACTCTTTGGCTGCTATAGAGACTGCTAACTACAGATTTTTAACTCATTTATTGACAGACCTCTACCTACTGATAAGTAAAATTGTCTGGCATTTACAGACGGTAAATACTAAAATAGGTCTGTAATAGCCTCTGATGTTTCAGCACTTCTACACTTGTTCTCAATTTCTTTTTACTAATTATATAGACTATTTACATTATATGTTTTAACTTTTTATTATCTATGTTTTAACTACTGGAATTTATAATATATTTTTTAAATATTTATAGGCTACGGTATATGTATTTGTATATACTATATTTAATAACTATTTTAAATGTATTAACAGGACATATTTTAACTATTTATTTAATATGTTATTACTATTTTTTAACTATTTTTAATCTGTTTGGACAATATTATATCCACTATTTATTATCTATATTTAACAGGCTTGGATGTATTTTATAACTATTTATTATCTATTTTTAAGCTATATTATCACTATTTTTGAACTATTTATTATCTATTTTTAAACTATATTATCACTATTTTGGAACTATTTATTATCTATTTTTAAACTATATTATCACTATTTTTGAACTATTTATTATCTATTTTTGAACTATTTATTATCTATTTTTAAACTATAATATCACTATTTTTGAACTATTTATTATCTATTTTTAAACTATATTATCACTATTTTTGAACTATTTATTATCTATTTTTAAACTATAATATCACTATTTTTGAACTATTTTAAACTTAGTTGAAACTCATTTCAGCTATTTATTACATATTTTTTACCAATATTGTCACTATGTTTTAACTATTTCATACATATTTATTAACTATGTTGAAACTATATATTTTTAATAATTTCCTTAAATAGCACTATTTTTATCATATTTGAAACCTATTTAATTTCTATTCGAGTATACATCAATTAAGTATGTGTTTAGAAATATATATCATGAATAGGAAAAAAATATGGTTCCACTTGGATAGGAAAAAAATAGCCTTTCTACCCTAATTTAAATAGGAAAAACCTCGAAAAAAAATAATAGTAAAAATAGGAAATAAATACTTTGACAAATAGGAATTAAATAGCCCAATAAAATAGGAATTAAATAGCAATCAAATAGTGTTTGTTTCTACAAGGGTAAATTCAGATTCAGCTTTCTTAAGATAGTCCTTAAAATGACATTCAGTTGTATCAATTTCAGCTGCTAAGTTAGGTCCAATATTTGCAAAGTAATCATTGAAACATTTTGCTATGTCTTCAGGGCTTGTTAGTTTTACATTATTTATATTTAATTCATTCACTTTAGTAGGTCTATTTTGCTTACCAATTAAACTATTTATTGTCTTCCAAGCAGCTTTTGGATTTTGGCTCTCAGAAGAAATTTTATTGGTGTAATACTCTTTTTTAGCCAGTCTTAACTGAGTATTTGTTTCATTCCTGGCTCTTTTATAGTTTTCCCAATCGGACTCAAGTTTCGTTACGATTGCTCTTCTTTTCAATTTATCCCTTGTGATTATCATTTGTTTAATATGATTAGTGATCCAATGTAGTTTTTTAGATTTTATCTTTTTACTTTGAAGAGGGGCATGTTTATCTAGAACCTGTAAAAATAGCTCTTTCCAAATTTGCCACATACTGTTGGGATTGTCTGCAAAAAAGTAGACATTCTCCCATGACTGGATTTTAAGATCATGCAAGAACTTATTTTCATTGAAGTTTTTCATATTCCTAATTTCAATAATATTTTCTTTATCTTTATGGTTTATATTAATCTTCCTAATGGCATAACTGAGACTGTGGTCACTGATTCCAGTATGAATCACACCACATTTAGAATTTTTTTCAGGTTCATTTGTAATAAAGTGATCAATAAGTGTAGATGATGTCTCAGTAATTCGTGTTGCTTCATCAATTAATTGAGTTAATTGATAAATTTCGAAAAGAGACCTTAATTTATTTGTTGGGTAATTGGGATTGGGCTTAAGTAGGTCACAGTTAAGATCACCTAGGATAAGGATTTCTTTATTTTCATTATCAATAGTTTGCAATAAATTTTCAAAACTGGTAAAAAATCATCTGATGCATCAGGTGGTCTATAAACTGAGACAACCACAAATGGTCGGCTATATGGCTTGGATATTTCAAGGCATATCTTCTAGATCTAGTGGTATTAGGCCATGTCTAGTTTGATAATTTATGGAGTTTCGAAGGTATATACAAACACCCCCACCATTTCGATTTCTATCTTTTCTTATAACATCATACCCATCTATATTTATCATATAATGCGAATACAACATTAATGCGAATCACTGTGAAGAACGAAGCCATCTGATCGTCTGGGCAATTGTAATGAAAAAAAAATGTTTGATTGTTCAATGATTTGGTTAAACACTTCGTCTGCTCATAATTAATAAACGACAGTTGGTGCAAATGAAATTTTTGCGTGCAAGATAATAACAAATATTGGAAAAATTCGATCATATTTCGCCAAGGCTATACGTGAACTCAACTTGAAGCGCTCGGAACAGTACACCCAGGGCAGGCATGAAACTGACTTCTATATATCAAAGCTGACTAAAATATATCAAAGCAACGTTCAGCGCGACAGCCCGGGACTAGCTAGGCTGACTTGAGCGAGTTATTCACGAAACGTCCTGCCATTCATCAACGAGATACACGCGGCCATGCCAGAACTCAATACAAAGACCACTGTAGGAAACTTCTGCGGGTCAACGGTCTTTCCATTATAGAGGCGTTGCCATCTGGAACGATCTGGACATTAAGGACAAAAAGTAAAACTTTTACCGGCGAAACTTTGAAAACTATGACCTGTATGAAGCGAAGCATGCTAGAACCAATGTAGAGCTAAGTAGATAACCGTCATGTTAATGCTTGATACAAAGTCAAAGCCAAAGGTCTTATCCTTTTTACCTTATATTTTTCAACTTGTAAATAGTACAACATCGTATTCATTGTAATCAGTGTTGAACTGATAGTGCAATAGCGACTCAATGCAAAGTAAAGCGAATAACGCGGCGAAGAACAAAAACATGCGAATGTAGCGAGTCAATTTTTGGATAGTAGAATAATTTTAGCTTAATAAACAAAAGCAATTGTGGAACAATGCGAACTTAATCTAAACATTTGTAAATATAAATGTAATTCAACCTATGCTGCAATGTTGGTATGATTAAAACATCTACTTACCTGTCTGGAAATGCGAATCCCTGCGAAGAACGAATACATGCGAATAGCGAATCAATCCGAACACAAACGGAATGTGAATATAGCAAACCTTAATGTGAATCGATTCGATCACTGCGACGAACGAAGACATGCGAATAAAAATACGGCGAATCGACAGATGCCGACGGACGGCCACCATGCTGAGCTGACGAAGCCTGTAAACGTAGAGTAAATGGACTCGTAGGTGGTGCCATAACATTCTGAGGAAAGGAAGGCGAACTCAAGGCTGACGACGAAGACACCACGGCCAACTAGTGCGAATGGCAGGCGCAGGACTCTAGCGAGCGCGACGATGCACGCGACAAGAACCCCGAACTGCAGAGGAAATAACAGCTGGATTAGACACTACTGGTGGTAGTAGGTGGTTAGTTAACTTATTCTGGAATTTCCTTTTGAAATTTTCAAAGAATTACACTGAAACTAACTTCGGGAAAAAAAAAAACACTATGGGAATGATGCCAGACCCACGTTGTTTTTACTTAATATATTCATGTTTGAATAATCTACATATTCAAATGACCCTAGCAAGTGACGTTAGCTAGCGCCTCTTAATTCCCTGTTAACTTCCATTATTGTGGCAATAATATAACATTTATTGTGCCAATAATAACATTTATACGCATAAATTATCATAATTGAACACCCCAAATACTGGAGATTTTGAGGTCATGTAACCAGCCGATGCCAGGGCCATTTTCACTGATCGGAAGCAAAATGCCCTGGGTACGAGGTTGGGTGATCATGAATACTTGTAGGCCACTTTACGACGACATCCATGGAACAGCTATTAAGGGGTGGGCTACCAAAAGTGCAGACAGAAATATGTGATTTTCCCAGCCCCCACCCCCCACCCCCCAACAGGATCAAACAGGATCAAATGATGATCTCATCATCCTTTCGTTCAATGTATGGTCTTAATTCTTCAGCCAGCCTGTGTAGAGGGACTCGACTCATTCGGAAATTCTCCATCCGCTCCTCAGGAACAACAATTTGGTTGACAAATCCATTCCACCAAGCATTTGTTCGTCCAGGTCTAACCCAAAATCGTCGAGGTCGTGCTTGGCGCCTTTTGTTGAGACGTTTAACGGCCATATATTAACAACTGGCATTAAAAGAAACCGTGCTAAGGTCGCTCGCATTCTTTCATAGTCAGCCTGGTAACTTAAGATTGCAATATTTAATTGAATGTAGGCGATAACCTCCGAGGCGCCATTTTGCTGTAAGAAATCACCAAGACAACTCACGGGCAGGCATATGTTTAGCGTAGACTGGACTCTACACTTTACAGTGAGCTGATATCAAATTTCATCGATTTACATAATCGTTTTCAAATCGTTGCCGTTACGCGCGTCCACACGAATCCGGACTCGTTGCGTTTTCAAAATTTTCCACTCTGGAGACCGTTTTCAGAAGTTTGCGGTTATACGGTTTGCATTTTCACCGGACACGTGTGGACGCTAAACGTAACCGCAACAGAATGCGGTTTGCGGATACAAACGAACCCGGATACGTGTGTCCATCCTGCTGAAGGAATAGCGCTTCTCAATATAATGGAACAATGACTACGAGTCCCTTGTTACAAACGTTTTATAATCTGACCGTTGTGTGTTAAGCTTTGATCGATTTTTTGTATTTGTTTTTGACTGACTGATGTGTGAACCGAGTCTTTTGGTTCCTGTTTCGTGATAGATACGGAGTTTTTAATCTTGTGTTACTGTTTAACCTTTAAAGTTTTTCAAATGATAGTAACAACGTACCTCACAAGTCTATTATGACACGTAACCAAGCGAATAATAATTCTTACAGAAAGCAACGCAACCTTTGAACCCTCACCTTTTAAACTTGCGCAGCTACCCCTTACGAAAATCAACACTATTTTAACCCTATTTTATCCCTATTTTACTTTCTATTTTATTCCTATAGAAAAGCTATTTTATTTTTAACCCTATCATATTGCTATCACATATACAAATCCTATATTAAACCTATTAGAACTCTGTTTTAATTGTATTTTATGGCTATTATAAATAGGTTTTTTTGAAACAAAAAATAGCCTATTTTAAATAGATTTTATTTTTCTGAATCGGTGAAGCACAGATTAAAATAGGTTTAAAATAGGATAAAATATATTTAAAATAGAGTACAAAATAGAAATAAAATAATTAAGTAAAGTGAAATATTGGTAATAAAATAGATTTTAAATATACATAAAATAGGTAAAAAATAGTCGAAAATACATATAAAATAGTAGATCAACTGCAGTATATTAACTAAAAATAGTAATAAAATTACTGCAAAAATAGTAATAAAATAGTTTAAAAATATGAATAAAATACTGATAAAACAGTAATAAAATAGTAGACTTTAAAATAGTGATAAAATAGCGAACAAAATAGTAAAAAAATAGTTCAAAATTCTTATAAAATAGTATAAAAATAGTAATAAAATTGTAATAAAATAGTCGAGAGTCATAACAGTTCTAAATTGATTAATAAAATAGTTATAAAATAGTCAGAAAGTAGTAATAAAATAGTTATAAAATAGCAATAAAAGAATAGTAAAATAGTCATATAATAGCAATAAAATATTCAGAATGTAGCAATAAAATAGTTATAAAATAACAATAAAATACCTAATAGTATATAAAAATAGTAGTTTATCCCTATTTTACTTTCTATTTTATTCCTATAGAAAAGCTATTTTATTTTTAACCCTATCATATTGCTATCACATATACAAATCCTATATTAAACCTATTAGAACTCTGTTTTAATTGTATTTTATGGCTATTATAAATAGGTTTTTTTGAAACAAAAAATAGCCTATTTTAAATAGATTTTATTTTTCTGAATCGGTGAAGCACAGATTAAAATAGGTTTAAAATAGGATAAAATATATTTAAAATAGAGTGCAAAATAGAAATAAAATAATAAAGTAAAGTGAAATATTGGTAATAAAATAGATTTTAAATATACATAAAATAGGTAAAAAATAGTCGAAAATACATATAAAATAGTGGATCAACTGCAGTATATTAACTAAAAATAGTAATAAAATTACTGCAAAAATAGTAATAAAATAGTTTAAAAATATGAATAAAATACTGATAAAATAGTAGAATTTAAAATAGTGATAAAATAGCGAACAAAATAGTAAAAAAATAGTTCAAAATTCTTATAAAATAGTATAAAAATAGTAATAAAATTGTAATAAAATAGTCGAGAGTCATAACAGTTCTAAAATGATTAATAAAATAGTTATAAAATAGTCAGAAAGTAGTAATAAAATAGTTATAAAATAGCAATAAAAGAATAGTAAAATAGTCATAAAATAGCAATAAAATAGTCAGAATGTAGCAATAAAATAGTTATAAAATAACAATAAAATACCTAATAGTATATAAAAATAGTAGCACTGCAACATAGTTCTTTATAAAGTAATAAAATTGTAGTATGATAATTAAAACCAGTTAAAA